CCGAGCCTACAACTTGAGTCTTAAAAGTTGGCCTAAGGGCCCAAAGCATTCTTCTTTGCATGCTTGCTTGACTTTATAAATTACTTTTTTGGCTTGTGCTTGAAGTAGCAGGTAGTGTTTTTTCATTAAACTAATACTTAACAGTATTAGTTAAGACTGAAAATAAATATTGCACCTTAGCATCTGAACAGGCTAGTGTCTCACAACTTATATTAGAACTGCTATTCTGCTATTCACTAATATGTCTGGCTTCTTGTCTTGGTACATGCTAGAACTGCATTTTCTTACCCCTTGAGATTTCACATAACCATGTCAATTACTTTGGCCAGTGAGAGAAGGAAGAGCCACTGGTGATTCCATGTTTCCTTATTCCTGCCACCATGACCTACATCCCTGAGTGAAAATGATACCAAATTTAGCCTCTGCTGGTGAGAGATAGATTTGGAATGTGTGCAAGAAGTAACTTTTGTTAATGTCCACCAACATTTTAGGTTTATTTATAACTTCTGACTTAATCTACTTTGACTAGTTCTTAATTTCTAAGAAATTGAGTGAAAGTGAAAGGGTATTTTACAGATTTTCCAGGGTTTTTCTTTTTAGTCTTCATTTTGTTTCTATTCCTAAATATTGCCATGAGCTTTCACATACTTAAAATATATTCTTATGCTCAGTACTTTTTTTTTTTAACTTGTGACAAAATTCACATAACATTTTGCTCTGCATAGTCGGTGCTTAGAAAAGTATGTAAATTCAAATAACAAGATGTACTATCTTAATCATTTTCAAGTGTATAGTTCAGTGGTATTAATATAGTCATACTATAGTGCAACCATCACCGCTATCCTTCTCCAGAATTATTTTATCTGTCCAAACCAAAACTCTGTGCCTGTTCTACCCCATCTTCATTTTCTCTCTTTTTTTTTTCCTCCCATTTTCTGTCTTTATGAATTTGACTACACTACTTCACATAAGTGGAATCATACAGTATGCCCTTTTGTGACTGGCTTATTTTACTTGGCATAATGTTCTCAGGGTTCATTGATGTTAGAGCAGAATGCTTTCGATTTTTAAGGATGAATAATATTCTTTTGTGGGGTACATGTGTGTGTACATATAAACACATACCACATTTTTTTATT